CTCGTGAGAGTGCGGTGTATTAGATCAATCGTAGGAAGCATGCACTGCTGCGAAATTGGAGGTCACAGGTCAAAGGTCAATGGGCACAGGGCAGATTTAGCACATTTTCTGAGACATGCGTCTGGACGAGCGATTGAAAAACTTTTTTGGTTTCAGCGGTGACTAAGCATTTTTATGGCTTTATGAAAGGACCATGAAAATGTCCTTTCTGCTGACATGCGAAGAGTAAGTGTCGGATAACCTTTTGACACCTCACGAGGAGGCGTTAAAGCATGGATTTGTTACTGTCGTTAGAAAAGAATTTGACTGGCGCGGTTTGCTAGTAGAATCTATACATGCCCTTGGTGTATGAGGCTTACATGTCACAGTGGAAATTCAAAAGCTAATTTCGTTGAAAGAAGTGTTTATGCCTCCTTAAATCGCTCATAATTTCTATGGCCATTCTATACGTGTCAGTATGTGACATGTAACGTATGCACTGCCAGTGGCACTGCGCACGTGCATGTGCGGTGATAGTAGGCAAACTTTGTTTTGTAGGGTTTTTTTTTGCCTTTGGGCATAATTGTTACAGGGGGCAGCTCTCTATTGCAGCCTGTAGGCTTGCGTAGTGTAAATGGATGAGTGCTTTACCGTATGTCTGTCTGCAATAGTTGTTGCTACTACGTACGATGGGAGCTTCCATCTTAGATCTGAAAGACACTTAAACGTACGCGCCATCTCGTGGGCAACCTTACCCCCCGCCCCCCCCCCCCCCCCCCCCCCCCCCCCCCCCCCCCCCCCCCCCACTCATAACGATCCAACGAACATTCCTTTTGAGAAGCGTTCCCTGATACCATCCCTGTGCATTCACACTGTTCGGCGTGTATGTGAAGCACATTTGCGACCAGGGTTTACTAGAATCCCACCACTCCACCACAGAGTCACCGCAGTAGACGGTTAGATGAGCGCTGTCGCTCTGGCGGCCACTTGTCCTGATTTATTGAGCCACATTTGTTATTCCGTTTAGTCTAACTATTACTGCTTCGTACGTTCATTGGTTGTTGCAGGGTCCAGGAATGAACTATGGACCTCAAAAGGCAGATGCGTGATCATGGATGAACAGATGCAAACATGGCGCTCAGCAATGGGCATCGAGCTTCAGCTAGAACAACGTATGGATACGCCACACATTATTTTATGACAGTAAGCACATGTGTGATTGGTTTTTAAGTTCTTGGCTGACATGCTATCACCTGTGTAGCTTAACTGTTAGTGCTAGCAATAATTAGTATAAAAGGTTATGTAACCATAACATCAGTTCCACGCTTGGATTTCTGTGCCTTGTCAATTTTAAAATAAAGATTATTTTCACACTTACATATTGATCATTAGCATGTAGCAGGTATGTAGAACATTGTAGATTATAACTTCCAACAAAAGATACATTTAGAATTCATGCAGGGAATAAAATTGATTATGAGGCTTCCAATATGAATCTTTGTAAGCATGTGTTGCTACACCTTTACCATAGCTCCCAAATTACGTAGGTGTTTGGTCGATGTATACAATTATTAGCTCATTTGACGTAGTCAGATGCAGCTTGTAGAATCGCATGATTGTCCGTGAGTGCGTGCGTGCGTTGCGGTGCGTGCGTCCGTCCGTGCGTCCGTCTGTCAACAGTTTGGCACAAATCTAAACGGCTCGACGTACGGATTCGAAAGTCGGACGTGGGGGGGGTAATCCGAAAACGAGTTGGGATGTCGAAGATGGGGGTCAAAGGTCAAAGGTAGAAGGTGTAAAAGAAGGGGGAACATTCCCCCTTAACTTAGGTATAGGGAGGAAATGCAGAATTGCGGCACAAATCTAAACGGCTCGAACTAGGCTCGTGATAGTCGGTGTATAGCATCATGGTAGGAAAGCCACCACTGTGCTGAAATTGGAGGTCACAGGTCAAAGGTCAATGGGGCACAGGGCAGATTTCTAGAAATTTCTAAGGACATGGTCTGACGGAGCGATTGGAAAACTTTTTGTTTCAGCGATGACCTACCATTTTTATGGCTTTATTGAAAGGACCATGAAATGTACTTTCCGTTGACATGCGAAGAGTAAGTGTCAGATAACCTTTTGACCCTCAAGAGGGAGGAGTTAACATTGATTTGTGTCAGCAATGCACCATAAAACAGGAGTTTCAGGCACCTCGATTTGTATCAACACATTGGGATTTGGGAGGTATGCCAGAATGCCAGAAGGTTGCTGAAAAGGATGTGTACGCAACTGCGTATCTGCATATCTGCGCCTAACAAAGGTGTCACTACGCAGCGACTTTAAATGTTACGTTTATAACCGTAGCAACAGACCTCAGATGAGCCCAGACGCTCTGCGGCTCTTGTTGTTAGTATTAGGAAGTGTGGGCGCAACTTCCAATAACCTACCTACTTTATTCCACGTCTATGCCATCGTCACGATAGCTCGGTGATATAATCGCCTTGCTTTTTCTGGAGAGGCGAACCTCTGATGTGCAGCGTGTTCTTGCGCGTGCTAGTGGCGACGGTTCAGAGGTGATGAACAACGGCCGGCAAACATGACGACCAGCACAAGCAACATGGGAAGCGGGAATGAACATGTCCAGCGTCAACTACAGACTACCCGCGGCGCGAGCCAGGGCCGCCATGATGCCCGACGGCTCGATGATGCCAGCCGCCGTGCAACATGATGGGGAAACCGACGGGGATGGCTACGACGTCAGCGGCATGCCGCAGGTATGCTGCAGCGGTTGCGCGTCGGATTAACTCGTCAGAAGTCGCCTCATGGCGTGTGAATATGGAATTGTTGGTCGAGCGTAGGGCCGTGTGTGTGTGTGGGTGTGTGCGCTGTATTTGTGCGTGATGTGAATGAGCGCGCGCGTGTGTGCGTGCATGTGCGTGAGTGATGTGTGTATCGGGGTGTCTGTGTATACGTGTACATGCACACATGTTTTGTGTATTACTGTGTATGGCGCGGTGTGATGTGTGCGTGAGTGTGAAGGCTGATGCACACAACCGGACGTCGCGAATAAATGATCCACGTCCATGCACGAACATACGGTCTTTTACGTCGCTAACAATTGTCGCCGTGCGAGAATGACTTCACACGCAGCAGGCCAACACCGCCGTAGTACCGGTACGAACAATATTCCCAACGACAGAACACACAGATATCGTCGGCAATCGCGGTGAATTCGCGAAGGTTGCGAGCGACCGCGGAGCGAGTTCGTGACGGATCGACGCTTCTCGCTCTCGCGAGGGATGTTTAGATCATCTACTAATGCTGCTTGTGTGCTTTCAGATGGGACAGTTGATGCCCGACGGATCGGTCGTGGAGCAGGAGGCAACATGGTGATGCCGAACCAGGGCATGTGCGGGGGCTTCCCCGGCAATCAGATGCAGTCTATGGGCGACATGATGCCTAACCAGGTTAGCATCTTATATATCGACCCTGTACGAGGTTCATTATTCACGCATGCTGTCTAACGACTTCGTAGTGATGGCATGCTAACACAGGTATTTTAAACAGTATTATACAGTATTTAATAGTTTTAGCTTTACAGTATTTATACAGTATCTTGTATTTAAGGGTCTCAGAGGTAAATGCCAAATGTGCAAAGTGTCATTATCGACAAGTTTCTATTCTCTCATCTATAGAGGGGTTCTCTAAACATAGGTTTGTGTGTAATTGTGCAATAATGGTGTACCAAAATATGTGGTTCTTGTGTGCGTAATTGTAGCTATAACATGTTATACTGTTATTTGATTCTATAGTGAATATATTCATTGCATTGTAAATTCGTTTGTTTGGCAACATTAAACGTTCAGACAATTTGTAATGCAAGTGTGTGTGACTTATTCACAAATAGTCATAATGTTTACATTATCAATCATAACTTCTGCGTAAGGTAGCAGTGGAATGCATCACTCAATTTATAACACCAGAAATAAACTACAGTTTCATTCAATTCCTTTGTGCCACTTAGTAACCAAGCCGTGTTTTTAGAATGCGCCTATCGCACTGACGATTGGCTATGTGCTGCCTTTCCTTCATTCAAGGAGATGCTCAATTCATGCGAAATATTTGGTACAGCATACATTCTCGTTCAACTATCGATGAATATGGATCAAACATCTTGACTCCGGTTTCGTTGCATTCGTCGCGAGTCGCCAGACCGTCAGTGGCAGTTTGTTGTGTTCTTCATCTGTCGGCAGAGTAATGGGAGACATGAGCATGATGGTAATCAGATGAACATGCAGGAGCGTCGATGATGCCTGGCGTACCGCCCCGCGGTCAGATGATGGGACCAGGCGGTCAAATGGTCGGACCGGGAGGGCCAATGGGGTGGACAGGGTGGTCCAATGGGTGGACAGGGTGGTCCAATGGGTGGACAGGGTGGTCATGGGTGGACAGGGTGGTCCAATGGTGGACAGGGTGGTCCAATTGGGAGTGCCAATGGGTGGCCAGCGTGGTCCAATGGGAGGACCAATGGGCCAGCATGGTCCAATGGGAGACAATGGTGGCCAGGATCGGTCCCAATGGGCAGGAGCCAATGAGTGGCCAGGGTGGTCCAATGGGAGGACCAATGGGTGGCCAGCGTGGTCCAATGGGAGGACCAATGGGTGGCCAGCATGGTCCAATGGGAGGACCAATGGGTGGCCAGGATGGTCCAATGGGAAGACCAATGGGTGGCCAGGGTGGTCCAATGGGAGGGCCAATGGGTGGCCAGGGTGGTCCGATGGGAGGGCCAATGGGTGGACCACCCGGTGGCCAGGGTGGTCCGATGGGAGGGCCAATGGATGGTCCAATGGGTGGTCCAATGGGTGGACCAATGGGAGGACCAATGGTTGGCCATGGTGGTCCAATCGGTCGACTAATGGGTGGCCAGGGTGGTCCAATGGGTGGCCAGGGTGGTCCAATGGGTGGCCCAATGGGTGGTCAGGGTGGTCCAATGGGTGGCCAGGGTGGTCCAATGGGTGGCCAGGGTGGTCCAATGGGTGGCCATGGTGGTCCAATGGGTGGCCAGGGTGGTCCAATGGGTGGACCAATGGGTGGCCCAATGGGAGGTGGCGGTCCTATGAGGGGTAGCTCCGGCGGTCCGATGCCAAAGAAACATAAGCGGCCGCTACTCAGCAATCCACCGTCGAATCACCGAGTGCGAGGTTCAGAAGGGATGGGACCGAGGCACTTCGGCCCGTCGTCCCCACACGTCCAAAATGTCAGGATTGAAGGCCCTCAGGTAACCGCGTTAAATCGGCAATGGCGGTAACGAATCGGCACGGCGAGTCTGTGCCGCGTCGGCACGGCAATGGCGGTAACGCGTCGGCACGACAACGGCGGTAACGCGTCGGCCCGGCAACGGCGGTAACGCGTCGGCACGGCAACGGCGGTAACGCGTCGGCACGGCGAGTCGGTGTCGCCGGCGCTATCGGTGAAAGCTAGTCGGCAGTCGAAAGAGGCTGCTAGGATGTTAGGCAAGTGGTGCCATCTGTTGGCAGCGAAAGAATCCTGCGAGATCACCCGATCGCGAAATGTTGTAGCGTGACCGATAATTCGTGAGCGTATTTCGCGCGACCGTGTGCGGCGAAAATTCGGTGGGTAGATGGAGTCGTGGGGGGAGGTACGGTGCGGCTTTACACACTAGATACACGGCTAGAACGTGGGTCCCCGTGAAACCCTCGATCGTTTTTCTCTTCCGGAAAGTAGCCCTTGATGGGGATGCGCTTGGAACCGCTGCCTCCCGGCACGGAGGAATCCCGAGGCAACGGGGAGGAGGGTCCTGCGGCGAAGAGGGCCATGGTGACGTACGGACCGGAGCTTCCCCAGGCGGGAGCGTACAGTCAGGAGCCGTACGATCCCGCCGATCCAACGTCAGAGGTACGGCTAGTTGTTTGTGTAGCGAGTAGGTTCCCACTGCAGCGACAGCGACCGACCGTAACGACAAACGACTTTTCAGAAAATTTGAAACTATTGTTTCCTCTGAGATATTGCACACACACGCGACAACGACCGGCGACAACCTCAACCACAAAAATATTTAGGAACGTTTCTATTCTCCAGCGACAGTCGCGAGCGACATTTTACAAATAGCCAATCGCAGCCGTTTCAATCGGCACGTGACATAACGATTACGTCATAAATTACCCATAATGCTAGCCAAGACGTAGACTGGTCTCCGGCGCTAAACTCGTGCCGCATGTCACAAACAATGGGGCCGCGAACCAGTCTAACCAAAGCGTGCAAGCTGTGGCAAGCTAGACACAGTGAGTACGTACAGTACATGATAATTTGCTGCGTATATTTGTTCATGTGATGATGTGTACCATTGTGGCAATTGCTGGGTGAACTTTGACCTGACGTCGGTCGCTGTCGCTGCAGTGTGTTTGCGCCAGTCGCCGCGACTTTTGTCGTTTGTCGTTACGGTCGGTCGCTGTCGCTGCAGTGTGTCTTGACCTTAAGGCTGGAAGTCGAGTATTTTTCTACATAACGGTATATTTCCATGAAGAGTTGCACTGCAGAGGAAGTGGCCGGATGTCGATGCACGAAGTAATCGATGAATTATTCACTGACACAGAGTAGTGTGTATTCGTGGGAGAGGAGGAGAGATACCACTGCCACCATGATTACTGACGAGGCGGAGAAAAGGGATGTGGATACCAAAATATCCAAAAAGAAAAAGAAGGTGATCAATCGCTCATTGAAAATAGGAAAAGTGTAGCTATATTCTACTTAATTTTATCACTGCTGCCTCTCTGTTGAGAGGTATGCGCTGTATGATAAACTTTACCTTATCGCCTATTATCATCGTTGTTGAATTCCTTGCTAACTTTTTCTAGCATTCCTTGGTAACCACTAACCAGTGCACGTAATCGAAACTTTTGCATTAAAGAAATAACAGTGAGTAAAAGCTTGAAAAAATCTCATTCTATTGTGTTTTTTTCCAGAAAGCGATAAAGAATGACAAGTTGTACTGTCCCGCGTGCGAGGTGACCAGTAACACGCAGTTGGTGAGTCACATAAACACCAAGAAGTGCTTCGTGAAATCGTCGTTGTAGAGCATGCGTGCGTGTGTGAGTGCGTGTGAGCGAGCGCATGTGCGTCTGGGTGTCTTGCTTATGTCTCTGCGTGTGTGAGTGGGTGCGTTGGTGCATGTGTATTTGTCCGTGTGTCTGTGTGCACGTGTGGGTAGGTGTGTGTTCATTCATAGGTGGGCAGATATGTGTGTTCATATGTAGGTGAGAGTGTGTGTGTTCATGCATAGATGGGCGTGTGTGTGTTCGTATGGGCAAGCATACATGTCTGCACGCGTGCGTGCGTGTGTGCGTTCGTTCATTCGAGCAAGCGTGTGTGTGTGTGTGTGTGTGTGTGTGTGTGTGCGTGCACTCACTGTAACACTGCCCCATGTGTTTATCCTCTACCCGCAGAACTTCATGCAGCACATGCAGGGTAACCGCCACAAACTGCGCATCGAGGAAATCAGGAAGAATCACGCTGAGATCTCGCAGAGACTCGTGCAGCTGAAAGAAGACAACGCCGCCAACGCAAGCAAAGGCAATGCCACGGCAGGCAACACCAAGAAGGTGTGCGCGAGGAATTCTAGCCGAGGACGAGACTCAGATGATTGAAATCTATGACCGTGCGCGCGCGTCGACGATTTTCCGTTACGTCGAATGTCTGGAATTTTCGTGATTCGTTTTGCCAAAACCTGCCTGTTTAAAACTAAAGCTTTCCTGAATATATATATATATAGATCTACATGCAACAAACGCATTTATATATATATATATACAGGGTGCGAAATTAACAGGAGTCCAGAGTCAAATACTCCCTGATTTACTGTCGGACTTCGTTTGACATATGCAGGAGTCCGTGTGACTCCCTGAAAATTCTGCCATACTAACTAGTTCGTTCCGGAGCACGGCCTCGTGGAATTACCGTATTTTTTCAGCTACTGTTCAAAGAAAATTTGGCAGACGTGCAACCGCATGAATCTTAAAAATAAGCATATGCGTTATTGTTAATATCTTTAATTTTGAACCTCAGACTGCAGACTCCCTCATTTTGCTGCGGACTTCCTCTTTTTGTAAGTAGGGAGTCCGTTGGACTGTCGCATTCAAAAGTTAATTTCTACCCCTGTATATATGATCTACATGCAACAAACGCATATATATGGGTTTGGTCCATCTGCCAAATCCCTGTAATCACAAAGTCATCAAGAACTCTGCTATTACATTTGAGTCGTAGCATATGACAGCCATCTCCTAACTGCACATCATTACTCTCATTCCAGTCGGAGGCGAACTCTGCGGATGACGCCGCCAACGTGCCGGCCGTTGGATCGATCATCCAAGTGCAGATAAAGAACGAGAGTGCGCAGCTGCCTGAGCCGTGAGTACTGCTCGAGGGTAGAGTTAAGGGGTAGGGGGTCGCTATTGTCGCTACAGACCAGGGAGCCGTGGTGGTCAGAATCATTTTACTTGTTTTGTCTTACGTCATTTTACTTGTTTACAGTCTTAGTAATATCCTTATTCGTGTGTTATAATAATATTTATCGTTATCGTAGAATTGATGCGTTTCTAATAATGGCCTTCAATAATAAATAAGTATAATAATAAGTGATTTTATGGTTAGTTGGGATAAATATCTAACACGATGTAAAATAGAGGCCAAAAGCCTTATTGGCACTGGCAAGTTGATACTGATGGCAATAGATACATGGCAAATGTGTGACAATCGCTGGCAATTATTTTTATAGGAAGAAGCCATTGTTCTGCAAAGTGTGTCAGGTGACGTTCACTGAACCCCTGATAGAGCATCGAAGGACAAAGGAACACAAGGTATCATGCTGTATATAATTTGAAAATTCACACGGATACCGATTACCGTTTAGGTGTAAGTGTGTATAGAATAACAGAATAAACCAAGCATGGGTAGAATATAAATTGAATGATTAAAAATCGTTAACACCTTATGAAAACTCAAGATGGCTCAAGGGTTAAGAGAGAGATAAACCATCCATAAATAAATATTACATAATTATAAGTGTAATTACAAATTAATTTACTTAATTTTATGAATGATGAATATTGAGTAGTGAGATTAGAAATTGCATAATTAAAATTAAATTGATTGTGCATGCTGGCTTGAAATTTTAAATAAATTTTAAGTAAATATTGGAGACATATTCCAAGTAATATAACCTTCATATAGTGCAGGTACGATTGATGCAAATTTATAAACCTGGGTTGTGATACTAGCATATGTACATATTTACAGATGAGGCTGTAGCCTGTATGTTCAGCTCATCTGATGTAGGCACGCCTATCAGAATAGCTTTACCTAGTTTTTGACATTGTGAAAAAATAGGCCTCGGTCAGCATTATAGGCTGTCGTCCGACTGGGTTTCCTGTTTGGGCTTTGGGGAAAAATGTTTTGTGCCAGCCTTACTTTGAGTGTTCATATTCATCATGTAGTCAAGAGAAAGAGTGATTTGAAAAGCCATTTACTGGTCAACACTAGAGGGCAAGAGACATGTTTGATTTTCTTCTTTGCTCGTAGAGTAAAACTGGTCTTAGGCATCTGCACAATCGTGGCTCGAGTTCATGTGGCTTGACATATGTTCTTTACATTCAGGATACGATTTCACTAGAAAAGTGCACTCTTAATGTGAAAATAGAAGTTACAGGGCAAATTCTATCTAGGAAGCCATTCTATCAGAGGACCCACATTCGTCATGACTTCTTTCAAAGAACAATAGAATGCACTCTGCTAGTATGCGAATAATAGCCGTCTGGTGACCTTTAGACTCGTATCCGGACGACTACCCCCTGGAGAACTACCTCGCGGACAACTACCACCCGGACAATTGCCCCCCTAGGACAACTCCCACCCGGACAACTGCCACCCGGACAACTACCCCCCGGACAACTACCCCCCCTAGGGTTAGGGTTAGGGTTGTCCTACGGGTGTAATTGTCTTATGGGGGTAGTTGTCCTGGTGGCAGTAGACTGGGTGGTAGTTGTCCTAGGGGGGTAATTGTCTGGGGGGTAGTTGTCCTAGAATCCTTTTGACTTTGGGGGCGACACTGCCTGAATTCTTGTTTGCGATATCCGATGAAAGAAATATATGTGATCATGTTTGTATTTAGCATATAGGGTACATTTTTAAAGGGTATGCCTGTTCCGGTGTTTAATGTGGGTACATGACTTTAGATTCAAACCTCAATTGACAAATATTGAAGCACATGAAGTAAAGAATCTTTGATTAACTAGGGAATCGTAAAATGCATGAGTTGAATGATACATTTAGTAATTCGCAATGCAGGGTTCAAACCCGCCTATGGTCTCTTTCCCATGTTCGTTATCATTATTTACTCTACTGAAGCAAATGTGTAGCAAATATTATTTCAAGCCGTTATTTGAAATTTCCTGGAACGTTTCAAGTGTGTCGAATGTTGATGGAAGTTTGATTCAAGCACACTCTTGTTCGTTAGTCAGAAATTTTTTCTAGGATTTTACTACCAGCAGCAGCAAAACAAAACGAGAATAACGTCAGCAACAACGGTGGTGATCACTGGCTAGTGAAAACTGATCATATTTCACAAGTAGTTGTTATTTGATTGAATGTGCATTGGAAAACTAGCAGTATAAGAAAAAAGACACTTTTTGATAGATCCAGTGTGTCCTTATATATGTATGCATACTGTCCCTACGTCCATATAATGTTCTACTTACCAGTCAAGGACTCGACTTGAATTTTAATATAACTATATTTTCTACAAACTAATTCCAAACAAATCTCAAAATACGTTGAGAAAAGAGTGGCTATTAGAAATGCTGTGCAGTTGGAAACCATCTCGGTTAGCAAACTTCCTCTCAGGCCACCACCTTACATGTTTATATGGTCTGGATATTGATCTAAGTTAAAGTGTGTGCACCAGCCAGCATTGGCTTGCTTGCAGTCGGGGAGGCGAGGCGGCATTTACACGCAGATTGGACGCGAGAATCGTTTTGCTGAATTTCAGCGTAAGAATAGAGAGCAGCGGCCGAGCTGCCAGCAATGCAATCAGACGTTCACGTCGCCGTGGAAATTTGTGAGACACTGCAACCTAGACCGACACAAGTTTGTGAGTTCTTCGTTTGTATGCGGAAGCGATGCAGATGATCACAGGGTCTAGAATCACAGGGGATTAGGGGGAGGGGGGACAAAGCTTGCGCGTTGTTCCTTGAGATTGAAGGGGGTGGGTAAAGCCATCACGGTTTGTGTCCACCGCGAGTTGACCGTGGCCATTAGCCATTGCAATATTATCTACATTTGTCTGGGGGATACAAGAGGGGCAGTTGCCCCCCCCCCCGTTCTACTAACTACGGAATTATGTAAATAGCAGTAGATACTTATCATTATCTCTGTCATTATCATCATCATCATCTGTCTCTTTATCATCTATGCAAGTTACAACTATGCATTTAGCACGTTTACTGAAAACAAAGCAAGCACTGTATTACGTACACGTTGGGGAGGTGTGGTAACTCTCCATTAGCAATGAAGTGCTAATGAAGTGTGTTCACTTGTTTCCGTGTGAACAGAACTATCAGCACTGGCTTCAGCAGCAGTCGAAGGAGCCGCCAGAAAAGAAAGCGGAGGACGCAGAAGCAGCTAAGGCTGTGAGTGTCCTACTGCACATGTAGTTTGATTATGTTACAGCCGATGTTCGTTTATTAAACGCATGATTAAATAGATCTAGAGACCATCTGAGGTTTAATACTAGAACAACGAGTGAAGTTAGTTTCGCATTGAACTTACATTCGTAGTAAAAGTGTATATTAAACCAAGAAAAGGTTACGTTGAATACAAGATGCAAGTGTGAAGGTATATTTGACTGAGTCACGTTAATCAAGCATAGGCGCAAGTCTCGGTCACGCTTGCCTGCTATAGACCTTTCTTAATTATTATTCATGACCTGGGGTCACGCACGAAAACGAGGCTAAGCTAGGCAATTTTGTAAACAATGGCTGCTCAGGCAGGCGCGCACAGAGGGGGTACACGCACGTACACGCACGTACACGCAGATACACGCACGTACACGATGATACACGCACGTACCTGCAGGTACACGCACGTACACGCGGGTACACGCACGTACACGCAGATACACGCACGTACACGTACACGCAGATACACGCACGTACACGCGG